CTTTGTACATATAGTTCACAACTACTTTTGGGTATGTCACACCATTCACCAAAGCAAAAGCCAAGAAAACTAACTATCTCGGCAAAACTTTATTCACCTTGTAAACTAATATAATCTAATAGTTAGTATTGATAAAATTTCCTTCTACTGCAATTTACTTCTACTGCTGCCTCTTTGAAAATTGAAAGATAAGGTTATGTTAGGTACTTGATGGTAGTCAAAAGGAATTTTCGAGGGTTGGATAAACATTACACTCATCAGTAATCAATGGTAAATCAATGTGAAATAATGTTCTCAGACTCTTTCAGTTAGAATAATCAGAACTCAATAGCTGAGTGGATAACGCGATGGCGTTTGAACCGAAAGGTACTAAGCTCGAGTCCCAGACTGAACATCAACTCTGAGGTGCACGTAAATCTGGCTGACGAGTCCCAAATAGGACGAAACGCGCATCCTGGATTCCACTGCTACTCAGTATCAATCTTTGCTTATAATATTTATGAATTAAGGCTATATCGAGGCAATACACACAGTATACACATTTGCCAATAACAGACTGATCAATTGCAATCCTAAACATCAATGGGAAGAGTCAAACAAATAATACCAAGTGAATTAATTTTACAGTTTAATTTTTTTGAAGATGGATTGTGATAATACAAACAATTTTTGCATTTTTGAAATAGTTGGACATCTAAATTAAATTTTTAAAAGTTTAAAATACTAAATCCATATCCTTACTAGCAATCTCTCCCGTCCCACTGACCGAATTATTCAATTAAAAAGTTACTGGAAATCATTGAATTATGTTGATTGTACTAGAATCTAAGCCTAGAAAATGATATTGATATCTTTCATCATCATTCTTCATAGCTGTTCTACACTAAACTGCAGGAACCAAAATGAATAATATGTGATATCAATTATGTTTGTTATAAATAAATAAATATATTTGTAATATCCCAATGAGTAGAAAAATTAGATTTTCTGACGTTTCGTAACTCAATATAAGTCACTTCTTCAGAGAATAAATAGCTAAATTAAAATAAACCAAGTTTTTCTACTCATTGGGATATAATAAATATTTTAATTTATTTATAACAATCTACCCAAGCTCGATTTCTTCGAAATTATCAAGTCGAACGTTGGTAATGATACCTTAAAAGTATATTTATATCTATAACAGTAATAATACTAAGTATAATTATCACTATAATAGGTATACTGTGAAGATTAGTTGAAAAGAACAATAAGACTGAAAATCCTATAAATATGATACATTTTACAGGTATATTGTAGTCTCATCATTTAATGAATGACTTTTTACGCTTAAATAGATTGTATGAGTAGTGTATTATTCAATATCTAATTAAGATAAAGAGTTTTATACAATAATAACATTATTTATTTGTCTGATAAAAATCATTTTGTTATCGTCATTGAGATTAGTTAATAGAATTTGTTATTAGAATGATAAAGGAAATTATATCAATGAATAAATAAAATAATAACTATTTTCTCTTTTGGGATTGACTAGAAATAAGAGAGGAATTTCTTTTTGTAGTCATGAAACGATTTCCTCATATCCAATAACTATTTTCAAAGGTGAATGGATCTATTTGAAGGGAATTTGTTACTTATGTTTATTAGTTGACGTATGAAATTAGTTGCTTCAATGAAATGGGGTTTTGTGAAGATTTCAGTATTTTCATAGTTGAATGGTTTTGTCCTATTATGGGACTCCTCACCAGTGCGCGTACACGATACCACATTCATGAGGTTCGAACTCAGGACCTATCAGTCTCGCGCCAGAGCACTTAACCAATAAACCACTGAGATGGCCGGTTTCCAACTGTGTTAATGTCTAACTTCAAGCAATCCACGAAGTCTGAGCGACCGTTCATCAATTGTCTTCAGTGAGTTGATATCTCTAAAACAGACGTGGTCGAATAAATAAACTAATAACTGTTTTCTCTTCTGGATTGATTAGAAATAAGAGAGTAGATTTTTTTTGTATTGATGAAATGATTTGCTGATATCCAATATGGATTTTCAAAGCTGAATGAATCTATTTGAAGTGACGTATGCAATTAGTTGCTTCAATGAAATCTGACTACATTTGGTGAAAACTTATGAATGTCAAGGAGTTTTAGTGCTTAGGACCTACTTATTTTATGAGTGTCAATATCGATATGTCATAACTGAATAATATTAGTGTTATATTTCACCATATGATTGAGAAATTTGACTACATCTTAATGTTAAAATAAAGTATTAAACCAATGCAGGATCAAAGGATCAGATTTAACTTTTGTCAATAAAATAGATTTGTAAGCATATATGAAACAAGATAAATATATTTGGATTCTAGATATATCATAATGTATTGAGATTCAATGATATTTAAAATCGGTAGACATTTGAATGAACTGGAACAGTTCAAATGAGTTCAAACATGATCTCTAAAACTGTATCGCTCCATATAAAAACCCTTAATAACAGAATAATTATTCAAGCTTTCCATGATTTATGAACGAAACGAAGGTCAGAGGTTTTAGTTTAACCTACATGTTTCCTAGAACTTTCAGCTTCCATTATTACAAAATTATTTTCAAATGCTTACAGAGAAAAGACCATTAAAATATGTTGTTTAAAATAACCGCCTCATTCACAAAAAGGTTCTTCCTTTTTCATTGATGCCCTTTACGTTTAATTCTAGAATACACATATTTAGAAATATGTATCTCGTTTTAGGATAAGATTAAAGTTTCTTAAACAACAGAATAATTAAAAGGGGGATATCTAACTTTCTATTCAGAACGTTGATTTGTGCATAATTCTGGAAAATGTACAATAAACACTAATTCTAATATATTCCAGGTTTTAATATGATTTTATTTCTTGGTTTATTATCACATTTTAGATGTTTGTGTAGTTTGTGTAAGTGTTTACGATCAGCGTTTATAATAAACTTTGAGGTCAGAAAATAATTTAAGAAAATTAGTTGTCGTCTTTTCTTGTTTCTCACTTTTACATTATTAAAGTGATATTTTGAACCATTTGGTAAATATGTGGTGTGGGTTACTGATATCCACATAAGTAGTATATGGTGATGGTCGGACATTGAATGTTTTTCAGTAGAAGATCGATAAGGAGGGAACGGGAACGGCACGCAATTGGTACGAAAATGCATGAACAATTATAATCGGAGACTATGGATGGATATTTGCAGAAGAAACAGTCGAATTCAGATAATTGATTGTTATTTTACAAATTAACTGTTCAATATATGGTTCTCATATTTTAATGAGATATTCTGTAATAGTGTGCTAAAATACATTCGATTGTCCCAACTTATATTCTTGTTCACAACAAGTATACTAAAATTATTAATTTAGGGACCAGCAACCATCGTAAAGCAATAATCACCCTTTTGTATATTCACGTAGTTCATTATGTTGAGCTAGCCATTATAGAGTAATACGGTTTTCTATTTTGACAAAGCTGTAAATTGATACACATATTTGTAACGGTTATTTAATTTGACGTATCATTTTTATTAACTAACTAATTGTTAACAATATGAACTAGACTAACTCATCATAAAGTACATTATAATAAATTCAATTTGAATATTTCATTTATAAAGATAATGCCATTACCAGTACCATATACAGTTACTGTTTCACCAAAACAAATTTACAATGTTTTTTATTGTTCATACAGGTTTCTAATAAAACATCAAAATGGAAATGTTTTACATTTTTAGAGATGAATTAATAATAATATGATGAACCTAACAAATTAACCAATGGATAGACCAAAAAAAATATTCATGAATTGATTACAGAGATCTTTCCCTCTACATGTCAGATATTCTTGTACATTTAACAGTTCTTTTAAGAAACCAGATGATTTGCAAGAGAATGGTTCATTTAAATAAACCACTTACACTACTTTTATTGGTATTGTGTTAAATGTGAGAAAAAAATTATTATCTTTTACTTTAAATCAAATGAATCTAAAGGTAGTCATTAAAGTTTAAATAAGCTTCTGTAAATCTAAAAGAAAAAAGGAATTAATAGCACAGTAACAAACGGCTATAGGAAAAAAACCCAAAAATAGACAAGCTGTTATACACACTATATAGTAAACAATCTTGTAATATATATATAAACTAAATGAGAAGTTCAAGAAAGCTTTGTAGTTTATGAAATCCAAATTGATCTTATGGTTGACAATAGGATAAGAATATTAAGATAAAACGAATCCATATTAGGAAAATATGTGTAAATGTTGTATCCGATATTTGAGGATATACAGACAGATAATATGTATACCATTTTAATAATTTCATTATTATTTCTGATCAAATTAATGTTACTTTATTGTCTTACACTAAAATGATAACTTGCTACTTTTCTTTTCAAATGAATAATCTTGTATGTATTAACAATAGAATCAGGTTTAAATTCACTGGCATCGATAACAAAAAAAGTGTACAGAAGAAATTAAGCTCACATGAGAGAACATTGAAACAAACAAATTATATGTATATATATTTGATGGCAGAATGTTTACATTAGTATCCTATTCCTTGTTTGATATAATGGGACAGATAATAGACGAATGAATAAAGATAATATCGATCAATTCTTTTATGTAATCCGCCTTTTTAACATCAAATGAGAAACGATTGATTATATTTTTGAATAAAACATTCAAAAAAAAGATAGAAAAACAAAGTAGATCTGTAAAAATAAAAAGATGATACAGTGAAATGAACATGGAATACAAACAATAGATTTGGGAATAAAACAAGAAATAAGAACAGAGTAAAAATTGGAGAGAGAGAGAGAGAGGGAGAGGAAGATATACAGACAGGAGATTGATATATTTTGGAATGAATTAAAATTATCAGTCGGTTTTTTTTCTCAGAAATGCAAATTTTATGAGTAGATATATAAATATATGTGTAAGTTTGATTCTATCTTGATAGTTCATACATTTTCACGTAGATTAATCTCTGGATAATCATCCACTGAAAAACTTCTTAATAGTAATAAGCCTAATATTAAACCAGCCATCTGAAAAGTAAAAAAAATAAATAAACAACGAGAAAACTGTTAACAAGGTGCTTTTTATGAAAATTTATTGAAATTTGATGAACAATCCATAATCTGAAGTTATTTTGATCATACAAAATGAAACTGAAGAAAAATATGTGAAAATAGTGTAGATACACCTTCCAGTAGTGAAACATAATGTGTGAAAATTAGCTCTTACTTTAAACATAAAGTGGAATCCAAATTTTTCAAACACTGTACGGTAATTAACCCCACAATTTGTTAGTCTCATACCAACAGATAAGTTTTCTTTCTTGAAGTTATGAGTATTCACTTATTTTGTAGAATAATGAAGTGTTCTCTTAAATATATATTTAGGCAAAAAAGGCATTCATCGAGTTACCGACAATGATTATTTAATAACCAGATATATAGTTGTGCAGTCAACTCTGATCCTTGTGTTTTGTGTTATATCTAAGATAAGTTGTTAAACATGAAACAGTTTATTTGACCGAACACGCTGAACGTCAACAGTTCAGTGTTTTGCCCAGTAAACTAACTGTCAACAATATTTTTTTAGTACATCGAGTATATTTACAACAGTGTGATGATCGAAATAACTATTTCTAGACTTTAATGTATTAGTAACTACCTCATTTGGAATAATAAATGTAGGGAAAATCTGCACAAGGAAATAAATAGCTTACTAAGAGAAATTGGGAAAATAGCTAGATTTTAATGCAAATACCAATTAGGAATTCTGAAATGTCAGATCATAATTAAGATTACTAAGCGTTGAATATAAACAAAACAAAAACAAGTGTTTCGAATTCTTCTGGCTACTAATCAATAACTGTATCCGACCATAAACAATTCTATTTTCGTATCCCTGTTCTATGTGTAAATAAAAATTCACAGAATTATGTACAAATCAACGTTCTAAATAGAAAGTTAGATATCCCCCTTTTAATTATTCTGTTGTTTAAGAAACTTTAATCTTATCCTAAAACGAGATACATATTTCTAAATATGTGTATTCTAGAATTAAACGTAAAAGGCATCAATGAAAAAGGAAGAACCTTTTTGTGAATGAGGCGGTTATTTTTAACAACATACTTTAATAGTCTTTTCTTCTGAAAGCATTTGAAAATAATTTTGTAATAATGGAAGCTGAAAGTTCTAGGAAACCTGTAGGTTAAACTAAAACCTCTGACCTTCGTTTCGTTCATAAATCATGGAAAGCTTGAATAATTATTCTATTATTAAGGGTTTTTATATGAAACAAAACAGTTTTAAACATCATGTTTTAACTAATTTACCGAATTCATGTCATAAGTTGAAGTACTTTGACAACTTGAAGATTCTTGCAAATTTAATTTGACTACATTAGGTGCACAAATGATTTTATAATTGAATAGTCTGTCAAACTCTGGACATTAACATAGTATTGATGAACATTTCGAAATTGATAACCAAAAATAGTAGAAATATAAAAAATTAGGAAATATATCTAGGTATATTCAAGAAGTATCGATTTCACACTGAAACGATTAGGAAAATAATCAACTAACCACTTTTTCATTCAATAAAACTTATTCATTTCAATCTAATGGTAGATCATATAATAATTGAACTCATACACATTGAGTGTTTTAATTACACTACTAATTCTTTTCCGTTTTTCACCTAGTGACCCACTTCATTATAACTCAACCAAAGTTTCTTTTCACATTCATTAATAAAACAATGTTATTATAGTTTATAGTTTGATCAAGAGAACAATCGTTCATTTCTAAATTTTTATAAGTACTTTTATACTTCTGGATAATAATGAATAAACTGTAAAAAAAATACTCCACCTATCAGTAGTACCATAATTCTCTTAGTCACTTAGATAAATAAATTTATTACTACATTTCTTTCTATATTTGTTTCTTTTATATGTTTTTCTCTTTTTGTTTTTGACCAATCATTCTCCATAGAATTTCTATTCTTGTCTTTTGTAGATTGTCAAAATATTTTATTTGGATGGCAATATATCAATATATATATAGATATACTCGATTTCATGAATAGAAAAAGAAAACTGCTCTGTCATATATAATTCCAAGAAAAACTAAAGAAATGACATCAAGTAATTTATTGAAATAAGGATTAGAAAAAAACAACAATAAACTATAACAAGCAATATGAAAATGACTAGAAAAGGGAAACATCATTATTGAAGAAGGAATTAAACAATCAAAATAATTGTTTGCTCGAAAAAGCAAACAAACAACAACAACAATAGGATAAAGAAAGAAAAGAGACATACATTATATGCTTATATGAAATGTTTCATTGGATTTCAACTAATAATAGTAATAATATTTTATTATTTGATAATATTAAAATTAAAACACGAAGTTCAACGAAGGGATCACTTTTCAGTGAATGTATTATCAAGCTGTACAATTACATATACATGAAAAAGTTTCGTTAAAGTACTAAGTCCGTGAGGAAATGTGAACACTTATAACCACATTTCCTCACGGAATTAGTACTTTAATAAAATATTTTCATATATATATACGATTATGCAACTTGATAATCAATTCGTTGAAAAGAGATTTCTTCGCTGAACTTCGTGTTTTAATTTTAATATTTGATAATAGCAGGAAAAATGAATATTATGTCATTGAAATTAGTAAGTTCTTTCACCATATGTTATCCCTGAATAACTAAGTCAAAGGAACCATTTAGGAATAGTTAGTACTTTCAGTAATCAACTTCTGAAGTGTGTATGACTTACAATATTTTTATAGCGTATTCTTATTTTAATAAATATCTGATGCCAATCGAATGAAAGAAATGAACATAAATTTAATGCTTATTGGCATAAGTCAATGAAATGTAATTGTATTCTTAAAGAAAATGATTCCCCTAAAGAATTCAAATTCTCATCATTGGTGAAGCAACCAGAGATGTCGACATTGAGTCACTTGAAGTGATGGTTAGATTATAAAAGAATCACAATTATGGGACTGTACTATTCAGTATCAGCCAGTCTAAAAGTACTGATGATTATGAAATGCATTTTTTGTTATTCTTATTTATTATCAGTTATGAGTGATCAAAGAGATAACATAAAACGTCATGATATAGACTGATTATGTATTACGTACTGTTTTGAAGTTCCGCTACTGTTTCTAAAGCTTTTAAAATTTAGCAAAAGCAAACTTGTTAACTTCTTAGATGATGCTTAACTGATACATAGAAAAAAAGTCTTTTGAATAAAACTAGTATTTTTAAAATGAAAACGTCACTTCCTTTAATACTATTAAAAAATACGTTATTCATCTAAGATTATGATACCGCATTTACAGAATGGTAATAGTGGAAAATAAGTTACCTATATTTTTGAATATGCTTTGAATGTAATAATATTCATGGCGTGTCTCAACCTTAAATATGTTTCATGGAAAGAAATCAACCTTTTTACGTTTGTTTTACTCTTTAATGTATATTTGTGATTTATTTGTTATAAAATAGAAAAAGTGAGTCAACTAGTTGATAGGCTTTTTTCTTTCTATTATATTTACAAACTATATTCATAAGTCAACGATATTTCTATAAAAGTTTAACATTATTACTATTCAGTTTGGTGCATGCTTTAAATCAGTATTTATTTTCTAACAAATTTACTTTTAAATTTACTTGGTGTCGTTTAATTGTATCTTTTCATTCTCTTTAGGACTGCATTGCCAATTTAAACTTCACCTCATTGTACAAGCAAGTGGCTATCAGGACTCAGTAGCTGAGTGGATAATACGATGGCGTTTGTAGTGAACATCAACTCTGAGATGCAGGTACATCCAGTTGATGAGTCTCAAATAGGACGAAACGTGAGTCCTGGATTCCACTACTAGCCACTATCCATCTTTGCTTATGAAATTTACTTTTGTTCATATACTTCACATACTGAAATTTTATTATTCTAATTTTCGATACTATAATAAAAGGCATGTCTGTATTTTTTATATTACTAGTACTATTATTATCAATGCTAATCTAAATAATCTAGTTAGAATAGGTTTTATTAAAAATAAATGGTAATGTTTCAACTTCCACAAGGTTATACATTTCTAATTATTAATATACAAGCTTCTAGATTCATAAGGAGAAAAGTGCTCAATAGTAATTTGTTTTGTTCAATTATCTGAAAACGTGAACGGATTGTAAACTGGATATCATCATGAATGTACATGAAAGATGTTAAATCAATAGAAAGTTCAATCAAAAAACTAATGAGGTTATTTTAAATTAACAAGAAAATACGAACGCCAAGACAGTTCTACTGTACGGAGGTGAAACGTGGAGAACTTCTACATTCATCGTCAAGAGGGTACAAGTATTTATAAACAGTTGTCTACGCAAAATACTCAACATTCACTGACCGGATACTACAAGCAACAGCGTTTTATGAGAGAGGACAAACCAGTTTCCAGCTGAAGAGGAAATTAGGAAAAGACATTGGAAGTGGATAGGACATACATTAAGGAAATCATCAATGTGCATCACAAGGCAATCCCTAACTTGGAATGGTGAAGAGAAGCGGAAAAGAGGAAGGCCAAAGAACACACTACGTCGGGAAATAGAATGGGATATGGAAAGGATGAATAACAACTGGAAAGAACTGGAAAGGATTGCCCAGGACAGAGTTGGATGAAGAATACTGGTGAGGGGCCTATGCTCCTCCACGAGGGGTAACATGTGTAAGTAAGTTTTAATAAATAGGAAACAATTTCATACACATTTAAACTAAATAATTTTGGAATTATAACTGTTTTGTGTAATCATACAAACCATCTTTTTAAGTTGCCGGATGACCTATTTGAAATAATATTTCATTGATGTCTTTAAGATTATAATCGGTCTTATTAGAATTCGTTCAAATAAACTTCTTATTTGACTGTGAATCTACGTACATTGATAATTAGAATCTGTAGTGAAACCACGCTGTCTTAGACATGTGAATACTGCAACAAATATGACAGCTATTGTCACTGCTTTCTAGATTACTTCGTAGACCCAACATTAAATATATATATTTCTTTAAACAGATAAATAATGTGTTGCACAAAGCAGTGATTATGCATGTGCATTTCTTTTTTAAACTATAGGAAACTTGTTTGTCTATCTATATTCATTAACAGGAAGTAAGCAAAGTATTCTAATGAAATACCGGAACAAAACATAACTAAGTTTAATGTTAAAAATCAGGTTGGATATAATAGATATTACAAAACATTTAAGTATTCCGCATAATTTCAAATCTTTTCTACAAACAATAATGTGAAAAAAAATTAAACACAGATAAACTGATAGTGTGCTAATCATTGTACGAACAGGTTAAACGTTTAGAAAACACACTTATTCTCAGAGTTATGTGTATTCAATATAAGAAAACGCAGTTTAAAGTGCTGTTTCAGAGAACTTATACTTGATAAAAGACATTTTTCTGACGTTAAACAGTTGAAGTAGTGTCCTAGGATTACTTCAGTGGAAAATCCTATAGTGATAACAAGTAAAATAAATTCTAACAAGTTTTTTTCGATGATCTTAAATGAAACTTTTAAAGTCCAATCATATGATTACAATTAAGCACAGCTGATCGTGAAACGAATTGTTTTAGCTTGAAAAACTCTTCACTTGCTTTGTTTGACAGACTAGACTCCACCTTCAGAGCTTGATCATAATATTTGTAACCATCTGGTAATCAGTTTGTACAGCAATTATTTTCACTCAAATACTCATTGACAGGCTAATATCAAAAATGTTTAGAGTTAAAAATAACATGTTCCAGATAAGGATTAACGTGATTTATATTTATATATCTGGAAATTTACATGCTTAAACCACGTATCATGATTTATACATACATTCCAGACTGGATAAATCAAGGAACAGGTGGGTGAACAATATTCAATACTATACCTCAACGCCATATGTCAAACTCAATTTTGTCATGTATAATCAGAACTTTATCATTTGAATCCTATATATATTACGCTGTGAAGTAATATTCACTTAACATTATTTCAGCTCTTACATTATACTATCAAATAATAAACATTGTCAACAAAAGTAGATTATCCATCTTCACATATCGAACAGTAATGAACAACTGTCAGGTTCATAAAACGTCTTAACTATGTCAAGTATATAAAGATCAATGAAAATAAATTATGTATTTTATCTTTTATTCACATCTGCTATATTGGCTTGCGCTTACATGATTTGAGAAAACGGCTAGAAATGATCAGATGAATATATGATATCAGTTCATAAGATCAGCAACTGTTGATATGAGCAATACTGACATGTATAAACATTCCGATTCGAATCCACAAACCAATCATAATTTGTAGCTGAAAACCTTAACAAACATTGCCAAAAATATGAAACACTGACTCAAATTAATTTATATATAACTTCTATATATTTTAAGGTTAAGTGTTATTTCATACATCTGACCTGTTCTTTTTTTATATGTGCATCTTTTACCTAGCCTGACCATCTTGCTTTGTATTTTGTTAACTTCTCTCACTGTGCTAATTTGACTTGTTACAACTTGTCACTGTAAATATTTGTCCCAGGCTTTCTAATATCTATCATGGAAAATAAAATGACCAACACAATATTTGACAAATATTTGTTTAATTTTGGTGCCATAAGAAATTATTCAAGTCCGTGTCTACCGATGAGAAGCAGAATCATTTAAATCTGATAGAAGTATTTGAGTGATTAGTAACTTTTTTGTCATAGGGGCAAAATCATAATTCAAAGGTATTGAACCATTAAACTGTTTTGAGAAAAAGTTTACAAAAACTAACAACTCATGATTCAGTTGTATGGTTGTTTAAATATTCCAAGTAACCTTTAACACCACAGTTGATCAGTCTCTTTCTGCCATATGTGTATCCTGTGAGGATTGTCTCGGTATTGTATTAATTTACAAGGCTTATAAGCAGAAATGAATGATTAACAAAACGTTTCGAAACATTTATACTCTCACTTACCATTAATACGGCCAATATAACAACCATTATAATTAATGGAATGAAATACTGATACAGCAGGGCAATAATCACATTTGCACAACCCTAGTAAGTAAAATCAATAAACAGATGAAATTGTTAATTACCTAGAATCTATAATTTCCATAATATATTTTACGGATAAAAAGAATTAATGAATCCAGATAGTAATTATGTATAATCACTATATATATATATATATCAAGCAAGGAAATCTCATGTACATAGTTTCATTGAAACGGAAAGGTCATATTTTACAACTCTCTATATAATCAGTGAATAACTATTGGCAATTTACAATAGAATTTGTTTAGTATTCTAAACACAGTAGGCATCATATTGAAGAAAACTGAAAACAAAAATAGCTTATCATTAGAACATTGTTGATTAATGCACTTTAAATAAGTATGAAGAAGTTGAGAAATTTTACCGAAGTTTAGCAGAAATATCAATATGTAGAAAAACTAGAACGCATTGAAAGACCCTGTAAAACTCACAATGAAGTGAAAATAAGACTAGTATAACGACGCAATTTATCGGCCCGGAATTCTCAGGACTGGAGAACCGAAGTTTTACTAATTCCCTTCAGTTTTTGGCTGTTATATTACATTCTGTACAGATCTATGCTTAAAGCTAACTGGAATTATTAGTTTATCAACGCAAAATTATTACTGTTTCTCAAACGACTACTTAGGGTCGACCCCTTTTAAAGCTTATTTTCAGCCTTATTTTAACCTTAAATAAAAAAGCGCTACGAGTTAGAATCAATATATATTATCCAGCTTACCTAAGTTTAGATCCATTGTATTTGATCAAAGATTAGTCTTAATGTGTATTCAAGTTCTAGCCCACTTAAGGTTTAACTCTACTAGTCATATAACATCCTCCATGAGACATTTTAAGGTACTTCGGCAATAACATTACTATGATACTATCAATTTTGATTTTCCTGTCACTTTCTTCAATTTCTAATAAGTCATGTCTTCGTTCCTGGCACAGACTGAAGCTAATGTATGTACATAAAGTTCATGATATTCTTTTGTCACCGCCAGATTATTAGATGGGTATAGGACTGAGCTTTTATTCCAGTCCTCCCTTTTTTCACTATATTTGTTACACATGATGATTTGAATCAATTTGTAGAGGTTTTGAGCTGCAAACGATAGCTTCTATAGATATTTTCTTATGTTTAGCTTCTGGAGGCCCAATAGATTGTCTACTAAATACAGCTGAGTAAAGAGAAATTGCAAATAAGTATTCTTAACTTTAATTCAAAAAGTTTTTCTGGAATTTTGATGACAGTAGATTGGATTTGAACTATCAGTGACGTCAAGCCATTTCATTGACTTTATCGTGTCACGGTCCTCAATCACTTCTTGTGATATAAAGTTCTCATCTACTGTACACACTTCTAAATTACACTAGAATACAAGTTAATAACTAATGAATTATGCTTAGATTTTGACCTGTTGAGACAAATTCCAATATATTATAACATGTTTTGGTTATGACTGATTCATATGGACGGATAATTATTTCAAAACGCTAAACCATACTCGGATCTCAATCATCACTTTTCATCTCCGTTGATAGTGTCATGAAGATAAGCTTTTTGTTTGGTTATGATAGAAAAACCCAGATCACTAGGTAGTGGTTGGTCGATGATCTTTAACGAAATGTTCACAGATACAGTTTTTAAACGAAACGGTATCCCAAGCCAGCACAGCTAACAACAAAAGAGAGTTAGTTAGATGGACATGAACCACTCGCGCATGATAAAATTGATAACATATAGGTTGAGTGAGGTGAAATTGTTATATTAACGAAATGTTCTTCAATATTTAGATAATTGAATACGTTCTAGTGAGACGTAATCATTTCCGTATTAGCTACCAAAACCATTGTATGTGGTTAATTCACGTACAAAATGAAATGTATAGAATCTCTTAAGGAATATGTAGTATAATATCTCCATTCATTATATGGAAGGCCCATGTTTCGCTCATCTACGCTTCAATAAAATGTTCAGTTCTTAAATGTCATGTAGAGGTTAATTTTCTTGAATCTGTAAATCTTCAAAGCAAACAAGTATCCATTGTTTTACAATATTTTATTTAACAAAATTATCTTTCCATTAAACATTATGCAAAATAAATTAATTTGCTAGAGTGTTTATGTTTTTTATCACACGTAGATTAACATATGTGAACAAGACATTTGATTATTGTTAAATAATTAATTTAACAGAACAAACAAAATATAAACTGAATTTATGTTTGTGCAGTTAGTCAGTATTTCAGTCTCAAATAGGTTAGGGCTTGAAGTTGCATAATTTCAACTGTTCAGTGACGAAAAAAAAAAAATTTTAAAATAAATAGATTTAGCGGATATTTCTAGCCTTAAGCTTTAGAGTAGCAAACCTACGACTGCTATGTTGCAATAGCCAGTACAAAGTATGATTTCAGTTTTTGATTAAAATAATCAATTTGAAATAAATGTAAAAATCTTTGGATGACGATCTAAAAGTTGGGATAAAAAATGAATATAACGTGAACGATCAACAATGATTTAGGGTTACATAATTCAAATAAAAAGTGTAATGTGACTTAATCATGGAATAAGAAATAAAACAGTTTAAATAAAGCAAGCAGCTAAACTGAAGACGGTGTGGGAAACGAACTGCTCACTCAAACAAACTAAAATCGACAAGGCCTCTTTTCTGAGTAGCTCCAACTGCATTTATTTAAATACATAAAGGGAACTAATCGCTTGAAATAAAACAGTTATTGTAGACGATGAGAAACGATCAGTGTTATAAAAATCCATCGAAATAAAAGCGTTGTTGGTAAAATCAATCGTGATGGTATTAGAAATAATATTATTAGAGAGTATCATATGACTCAATGAAAGAGTAGGTCATATTACAAGTAGTTTGTATGTATTAAAAAATCCTTTAGATGTAGGAGGTCACAGTAACAAATTTCACTATGTTAACTCCAAGCTAGTTTTTCTTGATACAGATCTCCATAAAAAAACAGTAATTGAGTAGGCACATAGGCGTCTAAACTTTTCTGAATTTCATGCAATTAGTTTCTATGGTAAATTTTTGTAAAACAAGGATAATAAACATTGTAGGATAAAGTAAATTCACTTCATTTGTTGTACTCAAGATTTTTCATACATGAAATGATTTCTATACAGAAATATGTTTTATAAATATTATTTTGTGTATGAATTAATTCAATTCACTATTGGTTTGTTACAAATTTATTGAGCGGATGAATGGAATAAGCAAGAGAGAGAAAGAGAAAGAAAGAGCGGTCATGACAAAAACTTTGTTTGATTATTGTAATTAAGGGTGGAAAAAATAACTGCTAAAAGACAGTAGTAAATAAAGTAATCATAATCATGGTAAACACAATAGTAATAATAATGATAGTTAAAAATGGTATAAAAAGACGCAGTTATTTGGAAGGCCATATTAGTTGAAAAGACATTTCATTGAATGGTGTTAAAATAATAAGAATAATTATAATAAAAACTGTAAGTTGAAAGTAGAAATATGATTTCAATGAAAATAATTATTCCCCTTGAATAAAGTTCCGACAAATTTATTCTTTTTAATATTAATGGCTTGTTGTGTCACTTAATTTTATAAATTGAAGTCCTTATTAATGAACTTTTGTTCTCGACTAAAGTTTTTTAAATATTTCCCACTGACTTATCGAGGTAATCTTCAGAAATAGCCTGGTTACTATTCAGAACAACGTTCTAACAAGACTTCTTGTATATGAGAAGGGAAAAAGCTGTTGAGAAGTCATGTGATCAGTGGAAAGCGAAATTACTGCATCCTCGTTTTTTTATAATTTTTGGGTTCAAGAAGTTCGTTCCATTTTTTGTACTTCATGCTCGCATATGAATTTCAACCTCGAATGAGCAAAAGGGAAACGTCTAACTTAATGATAAACAAGGTCATTGTTAGTACATATGATGGAAATACAATCAGCAGATCTCAAATGCATCGACGTTTTGAAGTGAGCTAGAACAAAGATTTTAGCAGAACAGCTTAAATTCATCTTATTTCGTTTGGTTCTCGTCATCTGCTTACAATCTGTGATATTTATAAATCATAATTACAAAATGGGTTTCAACTACTTACATGAAAAAGTTTAGCTGAAAGTTATGTTGAAGACACATCAGTATAGTATAATAAGAGTGTCAGTAAATTCAATAGACTAAATAAAATATTGTAAATATATACCCCCAACATTGATTGTAACAAGAGTCCAAATGAATACAAACAGGTGATTACGTAATCAGTAAACACTGATAATAAGTAAGAATAAAATGAATAGAGCTCAGTTAATAAAATAAGATTACTAATCTAGAAGGCAGTCGAAATAAAAAGACGTAATGATGTTATCAAATGAAAGAAAGAGTTGAAAAACTTTTTTCAGATGCAATGAAGGAATATTTATCATTAAGTCAGAGAAAGATCAATAACTATTTCCTTTTGAACATATATAGCATTAGCCAGTACTTACTAGGCAACCAAACTATTAATTTTGTATAAAACAACTTGTTCAACAACTCAATCTAAAGTTGAAAAGCTCTCCTTTCATGTTACTGCCATCTGTATTTATAAATTTACGTGTACCTGACAAAGCAACTTAATTAGTCGGACAGAAAGAAGAGCATATCTCAGATTTTTTGAGCATGTTCGAAAAAGCCTTATAACAAGAGAAAGAACAATTTTAAACAGTGCAATTACTAAACATCTCTTAAATACAAGACATCAAGCAGATACCTTGCAATCTTTCAAATTGATAAATAAACAGCCAAGCTCCAGTCTTCTGAAGTTGCTGCTATCAAGCGTCAGAAACCTGATTAATGTGTTCAAAAGGAAATGGTGACAAATATTACTTCATTGCATTATTGAGCAGTTGATTGGATGAAACATATCTCTATACATCAACTTCCTTGATTATGAGATAGCACTTTACAATGATGATGGGGTAATCTTACGGAATATTCTTCGATACTATGGAGTACCTGAGAATATCGACATTATCATACGAAACTCCTTCCATGGACTAAACTGTGAAGGTGAACACTGGCATTGCAAGGATGGAGTTCAAAACTGGAGAATATTCGGAACTCAAAACAACTGTAACCCAGCACCAAAATCAGAATACTCACTATTAACATTAAAATAGTTTCCATCATAGGGCACTCAAATCCGGAGAACTACCACTGTTAAGGAAGGTAACAGGCAAAAAGAATCTATATTTTTTGTATGAAGTTACAAACGATTTACACTATACACATACAAAGCCCTCAGTCCTTCATTTACATTTTGTGGTGTGTTCTGCATTCTGAACTGTCTTCCCATCTTGTATCTACGTGTTCTGCCAACGCTGTACTTTCGCTTTTGTGTAACCCTTCTCTTCTTTTGAAAACTGTTGCAGCTTCGACTCCATCTTCCGCTACATACTACTTACAAGCAATTTTGTGAGTACCGTCCACTACACCACAACTATTTTCAAAAAGGTACAGGTCATTATAAACTGTGGTTTTAGCAATATATCACATGTCCATTCACCAGAGATCATCAGCAACAATCAACTAGGTTAGCGAATAAACCAGCGGGAGGAAATCAGGAGAAGACTTTAGAAGTGGATAGTTTGCACTTTACGAAAACTATCAAACAAGACCACAAAGCGAGCCCTAGATCGGAATCCTCAATGCAAAAGGGAAAAAGGTAAACCAACGAACAAATTGTACTAGGAACCAAAAGTAGACATGTAGTGCCGCGATTCGTTAATCGTTTACTTCGATAACCGTTATAATTCTAATTTTAACGGTGCGTAAAATCAGAAGACAAAGGATAACAGCAACTACAGTTTATTGTCGAATAACTCAGGTCAGAAAGTTAGCAACACCTGAGCGAATAATAACGAGCGAGAGAGCGAGGCGAAAGATGATGAGTATTGGAGATGGCTGGGAAACCAACTCGAGAGCAAAGCAAAAATGATGCGTAGTGGAGATGGCTGGGAAGCCAACTCGCTATGAGCAAGCATGACTCAATATTTATAACCAGACAAAAATGAATGACAGACATATGATGAATATGATACGAAGGGTACATACACATGCGCTCATATAACAAGGTAGTCAAGGTTAATAAGCGAATAATTAACAAGATCAAAATATGACTCACAATGGATAGGTGAATTAGCTTGGCCAGCAACTAGAATAAACTATATGGGCTTAACAAATAAACTGATACTACAGACACCAGAGAAAACATTAGTACCTGATATGAAATAGAAAGGAAAGCCCTAGGAAGAATAGGTCGGAGATTGCTAGTCGGTGGGTTATGTCTCATGTGGGGCAAAAAAATTGGCTAAATAATTTAGCGATGTGAATCAGGTCAGTTATGAGTATGAAATCACTGAATTTTCAGCAAAATTTAATATCCAAATAAATTAAAGATGGAGGTTACCGAAAACAGCCATAAAAATCAAACATGAAAAATTATTGAACTTGATTGTTTTATTCTACTATGTATCTACCAGTGAGGTACTATGCACTTGATTCAGAAAACTCGAAATCACATTCCTCTGTAGACTATTCCTGTCTTCCTTACCCCAAAACTAATAAATGTTCCTGATTACTTTTTGAGATTTTATTCGTGAAGTAATTTTTTGAGAGATGACATTCTCATTAAATTACTATACACATCTAAATTATGACCGATTTCCATTAGCTACTGGTTTGAGCAGTGCTCATCCAGTGGAGGGAATCCGTGTCAGGTATAGACGGGTACCCACCTCAGACAATGAAAAATGGTCTCGCGACGTGGTTGGAGTTAGACATTGACACCGTTGGAGACCGATTCAGTGGTCTGGAGGTATTGGGTTCGAATCCTGCATGTGAAATCGTGGGTGCGCACTGCTGAAGAGTCCCATGTTAGGGTAAAACGGCTGCCCAGTGTTTCCAGGTTTTCAATGTTGGTTTAACATCGATCAATTCAAGATCTTAATCAAAAACTTTACAATCTCCGCAACCCCATACTGATAATTTCTCTTCAAATCAAACAATTAAAAATCGTTTGATCGACTAGTTCCGTCATTATTCTACCAATGTACGCAGAGCACTTCAACAAAAAATGTAAATACTATTGACTTTTCAAAGTAAATTTATGATTATAGTCACACTATTAATATAGTTAGTACATAAATGAACAAACGGTGCTTTTACTAACATCCAAATATGAAATTACACGGTAGAATGTAATCTCCTCTGAAAAGCGTCTCCTATCTTCGAATCTCGACTAATAATATATTTGACTTAAATCACAGCATGGCAAGGCATTTAACAGTGCTTAAAGTCAAATAATGTTTTATGTAAACAAGTGTTTATGGTTATTTAATATAACATCAGTATCGATAACATAAATATACGTATTTTTACTGATGTATAGTGTTAACACGGATCAAAATTTCAAAACTGATATTTTGTTAAGAATATGAATAGAGTATCCTCTAAACAATTATATCTATTTAGCAAAACACTTCAACATATTCCAGTTAAATCCAAGATAATAGAACACAAATTGGTGTTATGATTTCATATGGATAGAGACAGACACTCCACCCTCATACTTATCAAACTTTCTAAATTGAATTCCAAAATCTCTAAAATCAAATGTGAAGAAATACGACTTATCAGTCCTATTAATCTTCACGTATATTTGACGAAGTCAAACCACTAACTATATACCTTTGTGAACCACATTAATAATATATACTATACGCAAAGTAGAAAACATATACGTTTAAAAAGTATGTAGGCCTTATATATATATATATATATATATATATATATATATATATATATATATATATATATAAACTCCATTATCGTTGAAGGGATAGGTTAAAAATGAAGATAGGTGTAAGTAGCTCAGCAGCTGCTTCATGGATAAACATTATTCAAATGTTTCAAAATAATTCCTTACAATACAGCAAAAGACGATGATAGTTTTAAGTAGGAATTTGTAGTACATTTATTTTTACAGTAAACAACTTACTAAATTAAAGTCAAATAGTTACTAAAATTAAAATGGAATCATTAGAATTTTTTCTTTATGACGATTTACTCATATTCGTACTGGTATTATATTGCTCTAATGTAACAGTTTATTACTTGTTACTGGTTGAGTATACATAGATACAACCAAAAAAATGTAGCAAAGAATATTGTTTATCATTTTCCATGAATAAAGCATGTATTATTTGAAACGCAAATTTTGGTAAATTTATCTTTTATAACAATTTTAAGCACTCATAGATGAAGGTATGTAGTTTTATGAAATCTAGAGTGTCTCATGGTTTTAAGGCTATAGTTTGAATAAAACCTGTATTACCAGCGAACTCATCTTAAAATACTTTTATTTTTTTCCTTTGAAAGTAAACTCAAGTTTAAATAAGGAAAAAAAAACATTTGTAACCACGTCGCAAAAATAATCTCCTAACTTATGCTGTCAGAAATAAATTGTTAGTGGCCATATGGCGCCACCACGCAACCAGCTTAACATATCCATAATATTTACGTTAAATAGGAATTACCACCCGTATTGTAAATCACATGAATTGTCTAGACAATTATTATTTAATTATTTACACATATATACATATATATTCTTACCATAAGTCACCCTCCTTATCTTTTGTTAATAAAAGTGAATACGAATAACTGTTTATTGAACTGATAGAAGAAATAGATTCTTTTTTTAATAAAAAAAACTAAATATAAACAACTAAACAGATAAATAGAAGTTGAAAACAAATGATCCTTTTACTAGGTCAGTAAAATCAACAACAACAACAAAGTTTCATACTTCATACAGGATTGGTTCGTTCACAAACTTTGACTTTATTCATTCTATAGTAGAGAGTTGAAACAATTTCTTAGTCTAGTAAATTAATTTTTTGTTCTAAATAAAGAAAACTCATTATGATCGTAATTTATATGCCTAATCGGGTTTACTGTGCAGCAGTTCATCCCGTCCTACTTTATGGCAGTGAAACATGGCAATTAAAAGTAGAGGATATTCGTAGGCCACTAGTATGGGTGTCTTCGAAGCATTGCTCCTCTATCCTGAGACCACCGGGTAAGTAATGCAGTTGTTATGAAACGGGTACTAGGTAAGAATGGCAAATCGATTGATGAAGTAGTGAAACTTGATCAGTTGAGATGGCTGGGACACGTGTTACGTATGTCCAACAACCGACTGCCCCGACGTGCAATGTTTCATGGTGTAGGAGTAGGTTGGAAGAAAGCTAGAGACGTCCAGACAAAACATGGCACAAATCCATGAAGTCACTGACAATTGGACTGAGCCATGTTGGTAGGTGTACACTACCTGGTTGGAATTCCCGAGATGATAATAATCAATGGTTAGAGACCTTGAATGACATGGCTCAAAATCGTTTTTCAATGGCGAAGGTGCATACACTCTTTGTGTTCTCTCAAATTCTAATCTTCTGAATTCTTCATGTCTCTATCTTTTTCTCTTTCCAAATTTATCTCATTGGATTATACTCCTTTAATAACATCTTCAAACCCTAATCTTTCATATAATGCTTAAACTCTTACTACTTCTACCACTATGGGATTTGAATCAACAACTGCATCTCCGTGCTAATGTGGTATGGCAACTTGAACTGATGTACGTACGTACGAAGTTCTACGTTGTGACTGACTGACTGATATGCCTCATCGAACAATTAATTTTTATCAGTGATTTCTAGATACAGAACAACTTCTTGACAGTTAATATTATTAGTTGTAATAATGAATGATCAACGTTAATTAATCAACAAAATTAACTTACATGAGGATTGAGATATGGATTTAAATTAGATTTTAAAGAACCAATTTGACAAGCGGTACGATTTGAAAATTCTTTAGTTTCCAATGAATATACACAACATGATACAGGAACATTTACCACACTTGGTATTCCTAAATTATTATCATATTCTTGAGATAATAAACGTATTGAATTTGTTCCAAATACTGAGGATTGATGTATTTGACGTGAATACCAAACAGAACGAAGATATAAATCTGCCTGATTATCTTCAACAGCACAACATTTCAACTGAAATAAAAATATATAACATTTTTCTTAAAATATTATAGATTGCGTTTAATAAAATTAATGTATTTTACTTACTTACTTACGCCTGTTACCCCTCGTGGAGGAGCATAGGTTGCTCACCAGCATTAATGTATTTTACTCTATCAAAATGTTTACACATAAATTTCATTTTTGACCAAAATGTTTATTTTAGAAACAGCGCAACGTGTAAGTTATTTACATCATTCTAGGCAACAAACCCTTACTTGACCTGTCTGAGAGTCAGTGTTATTTAGAAAACAAATAGCAATAGATCATTATGCAAGGCGATATTTTCATACGAGATCTGTCATTATTACAAGACAAATTATTTTATATGTATGGACAGTTTTCATAAATACTGAGTTTTTCGAACGACGTTTGTAAGTAGCGTTAGGATTACCAGGGAGTCATTATTGTTTAAGGTTTAAAAGATATAAACTATATATCCGGTAACAGGTAAAGGAAACTGAATGACGTTTTGCATAACATATAAGAAACTAAAGGTTTTTAGTATTATTAAAGCGAAAACGTAAGTCTTAAAGAAGAAAACTTGCAAAATGTGCAGTAAAAAGTTTAATCAGTGGATAAAAATGATATTTAAGAAGTTTCAGATGTAAATCTAAGGAATTTAAATCCATGGGTATTATTATATTCATTTTTAACATGTACACACCATTCAAAAATAATGTGATCATGTTTAATATCAGAAGAGGTTTCTGTGGATATTATAGTAAGTTTAATGGTTGAGATCATGAGTCAATTGAGGTTAGACCATCATGGAAAACCTGGAAGCACTGGACGGCCAACTCGTCCTATTGTGGGACTCCTCAGCAGTGCGCATCCTCGATCCCGCCTCGCGAGATTCCAACCCAGGACCTGTCAGTCTCGCGCGCGAGCGCTTAACATCCAGACCAGTGAGCTGGTATCCAACCGTGTTAATGTCCATGATTTTTCATGATGGTCTAGCTTCAATTGACTCATAATCTCAACTATTAAAATTATCATGATTAATTATAAAATAAATTTAACTAAGTTGAATTTCCCCTATAAACTATAAGGATAAATAATGAATACAGCTCTATACATTATTTATTTCGAATTCTAACACTAAGTTCAATACAATTTCAGTAAAAATGCAATTACTATAAGAGTTGTTTAATATAACAAAAACATTGAAGTTACTTTCAGAATCAGAAGAAGAATCGGTTAATCAGTCATATCTCAATTGTCCGTAATCTTTATCCATTCTTCATGTACGTAAACGAATAAGTGATAATTCCCTTCTCTATCGTATTTTATTTGTACTGTCATTGAGTTCAAGTCATGTTAAAAACTCCATGAATTCTATAAAAGCATGATGGTTAATGACCACAGATCGGTTAAAACCAGTTGCTCAGTTGTTAGTTCATTGATTATTAAATATGATATCTATGTCTATGTTAGACATACTGTTTTCAAGTGAACTGAGTGATATACCGAAAATTGCGCTTATTTATTCAGTGTATTTAAAATTTCATTAACTTTGAGTGCCTATTTGTAATCGATAGATTTAAACTGATATGTTGGTTTTAGTCAAAAATTTTTGACTTATGGGTTGTGATCAACTAATTACAGTTGACCAATAAGAACCAAAACGAAACTTCATTTCACACTAAAGCGATAATAAATATTTCAATTATTTTGCCCCAGTTAAAACATAGTTATCGACAGAACTTTACTGGTTGGACTCGAAAACTGGAACACAAGAGAATTTTATCAATATGAAAGTTCCTCTTATATTGTATCAACCGTAATTTACAGCCTTATATTCAACATTTTATTTTGAACAACCCGAAAGCACATAGAAATTCTGGTTGGCCGATTTCCTTAAAGACTGAACTTATTTTACTAACGAAGTTGGATCATTGTTGAGGACCATAGTATTAATTTAATTTCCATTTGTGAATCAATTCAAATACCTCCAAATACTTTTCGACATGGATACATTTTACAAATACTCAAATTTAATTATATTTCATATGATGTATTACTCATACGTATATGCATTAGAATTTAAACTAATTTGACCATATAAGAAATTCAATTCATTAAGAAAACGTTTGAATGAAATTAATTTTTACTTATTAGAACCTATTACATTCAGGCTACTTATTAAGTAGTATAATGATATCACTTGTTAAAATAAAATGTTTAGTTAGTTATCTTTGATCCTGACCCATTTAATAATAATAAGAAAAATAATTATAATGGTTTCTTATTAAAACGAAAAGTCTAGTAAACTATAGTGGTTATATTGAACACTTTAATTACACATATATAGTGAGTTATTATCTTAACAAAATATCCTAAACAGACGACTTGAGTAGGTACTTAGAAAAGGCTGATGGGAAAGACTAAGTTCCTTTATCTTCTTTCTGAATGTGTCATGTTGAAACTGAATGAATATAAACACTACACAATTGTAAAAGCCATAGATATATGTATAGAAATATCCACAAATTAATATTCAATAAAAAAATTATTTGATCCACCTAAGTTACGTTTATTTTTCCTATTATGATTTAAGGGAAATTAGCTGACTTGAAGAGGACGTCTTTTGAGTCTTGATAATAGTTGAAATAATCATTTCCCATGTAGTTTATATTATAATTGTCACAATATTTCATATCCTTGAGTTCGATTCTGAATAAAGTTTATTTATTTATTTAAACATATAAATATTGGTACAAAGAGACACACAGATATATATACGCCACACAAATCTCATTTGATTTGTGTGAGGGCTGTGATACTGCCCGGGTGCCCAAACCAAAACGGGTGATTTTCTTAGGGGTCACACCCGGAGCCTTTGACCTAAAGGTCTGATCCACAAGACAATGGAGCATCGTGGGAGATACAGTCTCATGGTAGCAGGTGACCAACGATTGACTCATACACCATATATTCCCTCAGGATACCGGAATCCATTGGTTTGGAATTAGGGTGTACATTAATTTTTAAAATATCCGAATACCACCAAAGTAAACGATAAATTTTATGATTTACTGATAGTAGCTGAAACACTACTGATAACTAAGGAGCTCTGATGGGTACATCCCATGGTGAACATATACGGACCGAATATCAACATTTCTTCCAGTGACACAGGTATTTTTCTGTCAGTAGTGATAAATCTGATGGTCTTCGGTTTTCGACTTAACATAGAAACTATTTCCAAAGTGAATACATCTTTACATAATCCTCAACTGTGTTTGAATTAGCATACATATCACAAGAATCAGTCGGTTTTTAATTTAGAAATGTCAAAACAATGATTAGCGCTGATAATCACCACCTTAAATTAAATATTCATCTGAGTGACACTAGCTGGGGAGAAATATCTACTTCTAACAAATTAAAACTTACCCATAATACTTGGACTCTTTTCAGGTGCGGAACAGTTATTTAGTTAATTTACTCTTTATATTGTTACTACATTTCACAGGTTGATATAAAATAATCTTTAAACGAGAATTCCAGAAATATTGATTCGGTAACTTAACTGGTCATATTGAAGTTAAGAATCAAATCTTTTAAAAAGACCTATTTGACTAGTGGGTATAATTTGCTCTGTATATGCTACTTACCTAAAATTATTTACATTTAGAAGATCAGTCAGTGAAATAGAAGCAACCTTGTTATAATATAACCATATTGAAAGATAATGATTATGAATAAGTAATTGATAATAACTATATGTGGAACTATAACTATATGTTGAACATGACGAAGAGCGTAAAGAAATTAGATCTAGGTTAACTAAAAGTCTAAGGAATGATCGTGAGCAGTGGTGGGCAACGAAAGCAAAAGAGATGGAAAAGGCAGCGGCTGTAGGGAACACCAGGCAACTATTCAGACTAATAAAAGAAACCGGAATTAAGAAGTCAAGTGTAAGTGAGACAATCTCCGAAAAAGACGGAACCCTTATCTGCTTTCAACCCAAACGTTTAGAACGATGGGCGGAACACTTTAAGGAGCAGTTTAGCTGGCCTTCAGCTACTGCACAACTACCCACTATTCCCAGAAAACCTGAATGGAACATTGAAGTAGGCCCCCCGACCCTACTTGGAGTTCAAAAGGCTATAGGTAATCTGGAACGAAGAAGAGCAGCTGGTCCAGATGGATTGGCTCCAGAGGTCTTTAAATATGGTGGTCCGATTTTAGAGATTAGGTTGACTAATATTCTGGCTAAAATCTGGGAGACGGATGCAATCCCATCTGACTGGTCACAATCACTGATTGTCCCAATATATAAGAAGGGGTCAAAATCATCCTGTGATAACCATAGAGGGATTAGTCTGACTAACATAGCATCTAAAATATTAGCCTCAATAATTATCGGGCACCTAACTAAGACTCGTGAACTGCAAACACGAGAAAATCAGGCTGGCTTCAGACCTGGTCGTGGCTGTATCGACCACATATTCACCATTCGTCAAGTTTTAGAGCACAGACACGCTTATCGGCGTCCGACAATGATAGTTTTTCTTGACTTGAAAGCGGCATTTGACTCTGTAGACCGAGAGGTTCTGTGGCAGTGTCTGTCATTGAAAGGTGTACCTGAGAAGTACATAAACCTTGTGTAGGCTCTTTACTCGAACACTACCAGTCGAGTGAGAGCTTATGGCGAACTGTCATATGATTTTACAACCTCAAGTGGTGTCCGTCAAGGCTGTCCACTATCCCCATTTTTGTTTAACTTCATTATAGACCTGTTGCTGGAAATAACACTCTCTTCGACTGAATTTACAGGAATTGATCTCCTACCAGGGGGACCACTAAGCGACTTAGAATACGCAGATGACATAGTCCTGTTTGGTGAAGACGCTGGCAAAATGCAGAGTCTTCTGTTGGAACTCAGTAATAATGCCAGGATGTTTGGGATGCGATTCTCCCCATCCAAATGTAAATTGTTACTCCAGGACTGGCCTGCGTCAACA